TTTGTATGGCTATTTTCGCCAAAGAATTGATGAGTCATTTCAAAGTATTGTGACGCAAATCTCACTTGAAACGTGCATTTTAACATGCTTCTTATTAGTGGTTTACTAATCTACTCCTATTTTTAACTGTACTCATACAGTTTATTCTAAAATAGAATTAAGTTTCGGACAATGAAAACTTAACTGTATTGACATCAGCAAAGCTCTTTATTTATTAATTTTAATATCTGCTTACAGCTCTATTTTCCAAAAACAAACTGGTCCACTGTAATTTTTACCTGCTAGATGACCTAAATTTGCTAGTTCACTAACATTTTGATACATTTCGCTTCCTTGAAATAAACTGACACTAACAGAGCTTACATGTGGGATGTAGTTAACAACACTAAAATCTAGAAGCGGCTAAATCTCGACTTTCGTAGTAAGGACCTAAGAAGAGCATGGCGTCACTCATGTTTATATCGTGTTTTAATGGTGCATTCGCCAAAATTATTGGTTGCGATGTTTAGTTACTATATGTAATTTAATAATTGAGATTAAATGCGTCTAACGCCATTTCTGTTCATTTATTGCAGCGTTTAGTAATTATTATTTAACATGATTATCGATTAGAGCAAGTGGTATTATTACAAAGTTCCGCTTGTAACTTTACGTAATTATCGAATTAATAATTGGCATTCTTCCAGCGGAAATAAGGTTATCCGTGTTATTATATTAAATGGAAAGCAAAACTTATAAATACGGTGCATTCAGTTTTTAAAACTGGGATAGGCACCATGGTCGAACTGCAGTCAAATGAAGCTATTATTTTAGTTTTCCGCTAATTATCTGTTTGAAAAATATCCAGCAGAACTGGAAAGCGAGGCTGCCAAAAGCTCCAGATTTCGACTCAATATATCACCATGTTCGTTAATAAAATCTTTTATGCTAAGACAAGATACAACCTTAATAACCAATTTAAAAAGAAATAAATCTCAAAGTGAACCGTTAAGTTAATCGTGACTAATAAATTTCCCTCTTGTATTGTTTTTTTAACACATCGACATAATTCACGTCAAATTTTTAGTAGATTTATGGGAAGAATGGACTCGCGCGTGTTGAGCGTTATTTTTGCTCTAGATGAAAATTAGTTCGATTTTCTTCACCAAAAGAAAGTCGTTACCAGCTAGTGACATATTTTATGACGGACAATATGAATCTATTTATACAACAAATTTTTCTTTAGTAAACAACGAATCTAAAATTAAAAGTACAAATTTACAGACGACAATATTCCTCACCAATAAACCGAACATTAAAAGATTCACAACGTCGCTCGACTGAAATAGTGAGTGGATTAATATTAATGGGACATTTGTTATATATTTTTTTCTGTTCGTTTCGAAATGCGCCTCCATAAATTTCCCAAACAATTTAATTTAATATGAAGATGCGTCGGAAAAATGTTTACAAAACCGGGATTTGACAGCGCGCTTCCAAAATAAAAGTTGCAAAGTCAGATAACAGAATGTTTCTTCTGGTGGCTTCGCGACTGGTCTTTGAGACATCAAAAAGCGTTGACGGCCGGCTGTCAAACTCGAGTAAGGGTTTCTTTGGGGATACGCGAGTGGTGAAAGTCGCATTCGAGCGATATTCTGTTTTATCTGCGTCTCAGGACGGACCACAAAAGGAATATGGGCGCTAAATAATGCAAAATCCGGCGGCGAAAGTAGGAAAATCAAAAGCATTATTATTAGATCGAAGCGCTGAAGGAATAATAAACAATAGTCGGAGGAAACAGAAGCGGAAATAATAAAAACGCCAACAAGAAGGCCAGATCGTAATAAATCCATGCATTATGATTTATTAGACAATAAAGCGACATTGTGGAAAATAGCAGGACCGGGCTTTGAATGCGTTCACGTATTTGTTCAGGCCGGCTTCGAAATTATGCATCTGTTTATACAGTTCGGTTATATTAACTCGCGCAGCTTATGAAACTGTTTATTGCCGCAGCATGAAGAAATTGTAAACCGATGCCCCCGCACGATTTATTAAAGGTTCCATTGTCGCAACACGGACGCAACGCCGACATTAAGGCGCGATTACACCAGTCCTTTGTTAGAAGGACCATCCGGAAGGTAATAAATCTTGACGAACCCCTTTAGAGCTTTTACATTTATTTCGATCACTTCTACCTAATTTGTGTAAAAATTATAGGTAAACTGCCAAATTTTCTCTAGCTGCATTCAAACTGTATTTAGAATTTCAAATAACAGAAGAGCTCAGTTTTTATTAAAAAATTTGAATAACAAAAAAAAGTGTAGTGACACTCTGTTATGTTGTAAACGAAGACTATTAAGTTCACATAAGTTTATGTCTGTGTAATTGGAAAAGTGTTACGTGTTTTTAGAATTAAAAGAGCTTTGAAACCTCTTATCAAGATGGCCTGGTGGCTATATCGAAATCAGATTTTTTTAATTAGCATCGTAAAAAGAATTAAAAGAAAAACCGTTTGTATTTGTAACAAAAAACTGTAATAAGCAATTAACATGTTAAAATAAATTTTACACGAAGCTCATAAAATTTTCGGCGTTAATAAAAATAAAGTGTTCTATTTTTAAAAACCGCAACTGTGTCGAATAGAAATTTCTGTGATTTTTTGGCGTGTCCGGTAGGGAGCGGATCGCTGTAGTCGCGCCTTAACTAAAGCGGCACAATGCGACGTTCCTCATTAAATCGGTGTATTGTTTTCGCGAAATCTCTGCGCTACATCTGTTCAACACATGTCGGTCGCAGGGGGCGTCGCTTTCCGTGCTGCCTACTTGATTTAAAACAGATCTTTTCCGTAACAATAATCTATTGTCCGCGACGGTCCAGCGGCCCCCAAAATGTCCCTGGATCATCAGCTAATGAATAAAATATTCACGTAACAATGCAGATCAAAGCGTGCTTAGACCGTTCCCTTCCATTAAGATCACTGCCGAAGATACTGTCCAAACAAGCCTTTATAATGTCAGTCGGGGGCATAAAACAAATGAAAACGACCTTTGAATGTGTGCACATTCAAAGAGCTTTTTGTGGCTCGCCTCTGCAACAAAGTCGATGGATCTGATTGAATTTTTTCCACGGCCGTTATTATTATTTTTAAAAAGTTGGGAAAACAAACGTGTTTATTTTAGACGGTCTTTGATACACTCTGCTGCTTTATTGTTTTAAGAGTTAATATGTAGCGAGGACCCGCAGTTTATATTTCCCAACTAAATCGAATATTTCCATTAGACTTATGTTGATGTACTTTTCGGGAACTTTGATCTCTCTACACTTCATTGGCGTACTTTATTCTTTATCGTTTTCCTGAATCATTATAAACTCTCTCTGTTTCACGTCTATTCACAGTTGACGTCTGCACCAATTTTATGTGTCCCACGTGTATATACAAAGACATCGACTCTATTTTTTCTGTTCCACCGAAACTCTTTGTTAACACTCTACTGTGCTTCCATCAAACGGAAACGTCGGGTTAATTGGAGGATCACTGATCGGATTTGTTGTTTACATTTTCAGCGATTTGTTCACCAGTCTAAACAAAGGCAACTTGACAAATCCAAATGTCTAATGCCACCTCTCCTATTCGTTACACACGAACTCACAAGAATACTCCTATTACATTAGTCTATTCAAGCGCAAATTGAAAGATTCAAATCATGCTTGATTTGCGAAGTGTACGTAATTAAATCTTGAATTTATTCATCCTAACTCACATTTACTATATAAACATGTAAATCTGTACCAAACACCTCATAATTTAATGAAAACATGTTAGTACACACCACCTGACTTTTGTCGAAATCCGATATTTATCAAAAATTATGGTTATTAATTTTTTACATCATCCCAATACTCCAATCTTCCATTTAATAAAAGCCATCGAGCTCCGTGTTTGTTCGAAATTTATGTTGCCTACTTGTTTCGTGAACTCTTTATTCTACTTGAGGAATTTTGGCTCTCTAACTTTAGAATAATATCGAATTACAAAATATCAGTCCAACGGGACCAGAACAATAACAATATATCCTGTCACTTCGCCCCAATACAACAATCTCCCAAGAATTCGAATCGTAGGAAGAACGAAATTTTTGTAATCGCTCCTAACGTGTAGAAGACTAGAGTTTTCAGTTTTGCGTTATATCAAGTTGCATGCGAGTCGGTTATGTAAATGTTAAAACGCTCAGGAATTACGTGATAGTCTTACTTATTAACCATAAACGCTTAAACGATCTAACATAACATCAAAGGCCGTTTCTGAACGCCAGAACAACAACACAACAAAAAGCAATTCCTGTGGAGATGATCGACCTCCTGCAATATTCTCAACACCACCCGTTCTTGTTCTTGGCTGGTCGAGTAATTAACACGCACCGGAAGTGATATATCATGTCGTAATAATGACCGACACCAGAATATCTGCCTGCTGTCCCCTTGATGCTCTTATTCTCAATCTTCTGCCAACGCCTCCAGAAATATGCGGGGATGTGTCCACATTTTTTCACCTCCTGAATGACAGTCGTTTGACCTAGTCAGGGTAATGTGGAGATGTCGTCGACATTTGTTCGCAATGTAAACCGTAAAAGCTGCGGCAACAATAAGAGTCAGGATAGTTTATTTTACGAGAGCAAGATGTGAGAGCTTTCAATATTTATGATGACTGTTTAATTCGCTTGAAGATTCTGAAATGTGCACTATGTATGAGAACTGCAGTGAATGGAAGATAAAATTGGCCGCTTGCCGACGTATATTTAGTAGCCGTAGGCGGCTTGGCAACCTGCGAATATTTGGAAAAAAGAAACATGGAGAATATAACAGATGAACAATTCTTAAATGTATCTTTGTGCCCTTATTCCCCCTCCCAGAGGAGTTTTGACACTCCGCCGCTCATTAATCTTAAACTATTATTGTTTCTCTACCATTCTATACAAACCGTTCCAAAACTATCTAACCCGTAAACATCTTCCTTGCAGCCCCCCGGTGCCAGCCAACTGGTCAATGAAACGCACAAGCAGCTGGAGTTCCAAAGGAGGCAGCAGGAGCAAATGCTGCAGCAGCAACAAAAACTGCAGGAAATTCAAGGCCAAATCACCGCCCAATATGCAGCCAGCGGTGTCAGCCCCCAAGGGCTCATGTTCTTGCCATTCTTGGAGCAACTGCGCGGATTGCAGCCTCCAAAATCACTCGCCAATCACGTAAGCAACTCCTCCAACAATCCAAAACTTGTCTAACGAAACCTCTTGCAGATGCTTCCACCTCACCAAGTCCCCAGTTGGATCTCTGCGACAGCCCATCTTGCCCATATGTCTGCCACGACGGAAAAGAGGTCACCGACGCCCCAACGGACACCGTCGCCGCAACCGCCGCCCTCAGATCCTGATGCCCCCTTGAATTTGTCAAAACCCAAATCATCGAGTTCGGGATCTGCAGGATCGAGTCCACAGAGCGCGCCTGCAGGGTTGCAGACTTTCAATGACCAACCGGTGGCCGCCACCGCCCCCAAACTACTACCTCCCAGTTTAGTGATGCCAAGGGCGTTTTTGCCCTATGCAGGATTGCCGCCGCAGTTTAGTCCTTTACCTCCCAGTGTCGACAGGAGTAAGCAGGGCAAAGACGATAAACAACCGCACTTTCCCATGCACATGTATGGGCTGCCAGCGCCGCCACACATGGGAGGGAGGCCCAAGGAAGATGGAGGGATCAAGGATGAAACGGACTTTATGGCAGCGTGTCACAGTAAGTGTCGCAAGCTTTCAGAAAGTAGAGAATTGTCGTGTATGGGTTTATGTAAGCAAAAATTGTTTCTGTTGACGCACCAAATTTAATATAGTATAGGTGAATTACGGTACCTTATCTATTCGGTTCTTTCTAATTCTAAACGTCAGTTGACTATATTTCCGTGCTGACAGTGATGTAACATTCATGATCTCTTTCACTGATATTAAAGGATATAGAAGAAAGAGATTGGGTCCTGGGTCAGGACCTTTCGGTATCTGAAAAATTACTTATAATAGAGTTAAATGCAGTCCCAGTGCCATTATAATACTTACTGCAATAGGTAGTGTCAAAAATATTTAAAAACAGATAAACGAAAACACTATATATCTACTTCTTGCCCTTCAGGATATTTTAAGCATTTTATAATTAATATGCACCCAATGTTCAAAATAAAACATACATCCCACAGCGAATAATTTTTAAATGATTTGTAATAAAAACAATGCAACATATTTTTTTCTGCAAGACTTTACGACATGCGGTTTATTCAAAGCAAAGTGATAAGAAATGAACCATTCAATAATGACACAATTCCAGACAACAACAGAAAAGCATGATAATTTCCAAATGCATTCATAAAAACCTTTTGACGATAAGCCAGCACAAATTCCAATATTTCTGTCCATATATGAAATAATTGGAAATTACTTAATTAATATGGATACATATATACTTTGAACTGTACTGAAGCCAATAAAAAATACATGGACCTTCATAAAGTATGCAGCTGTATATAAACAAGTATTTTCGGAAAAATTTCGTCTGAATTTGTTTTATTTTAATATGTTGTTTCCAGTTTTTGGCGATTAAATCAAATCAACTTTGCCCTTTCTCGCTGTTTGTAATTATCCAGTAAACAAAGTAAGAGTAAACAATGGAAAATACAATTAGTAAACATAAAGATAACTAATATAAAAAACTCAATTTAAACTATTGAATGAATTTATACAAAATTTCAAATTTCGCGGAGAACCAGTATGGGACGTGTGTTTGTCTGTTTTATGTTTACTGTCTGCCTATTGTCAGTTCATCTCTCTTCTGTCTGCATGTAGTCTGCCTTTCTGTCTGTTATGTACGCTTGCAGTCATCTATCTTCTGTAGTCTGTCAATCTCGTCTGTATCTCTTTAGTCTATCTATCTGTGTGTATCGAACCTTTGTCTGCCTCTATGTCTGATTGTCTGTCTGTCTGTCTATTGTGTGTTTGCTGTCTTGTCAGTACATCTGCCGTAGGTCTATATGTTATTTGCCTATCTATTGTCTGCCTATCGTCTATCCGTTTACTTGTAGTGCATCTCTGTTGTCTCCTTCTGTATGTGGATCGTCTATCTTCCTCTCTGGGTGTATGTTATGTTGGTCAGTCTCTCTAACTTCCTGTTTTTCAGTTTTTCCGTCTTCTGTTATCTGTCAATCTATCATCTCGCTATGTGTCGTCTGTTTTTCGTTTGTCATTTATTTATCTACTTGAATTTCTTAGACAAATAATCCTCAAAACTACCAAAAAATTTAGTTGAAATTTAACTGTACCTCAAGACTATAATGAAGATAATAAAACTATAACCAAAATTTATCGCTTCCGACAAATTAACGATGTCATCTCAAAATATTCGTAAGAAATTAAGAATGAAGAAGAATCCTTACTTACTTCAGTAAGTAAATTTCATGTTGTATGTCTAATGTACTTGTGATTTGTTCCGAGTCTACGTTTATCTTACTTTGGATTGCCATAAAAAAAATCAATTTAGACCATCACAAAGTTCTCAAAGTTAGATAGATTTCTTCAAAGCTTTAGTAAAACGTTAACTAAAATTCATCCCCTTTGAAAACTTGGCCGTTTCTTTTTTTTTCTTTTATGCTATGACTGATACTATCTATGTTGATAATGTCTTCACAAAATAAGAATATGCACGTCTTTATTTAATAATGATAAAATGAGATTGATAATATTTAGAACATACTGTTCGATTGTGGCTTAATAATTTTAGTCCTCTGTTTTGAAGAGACAAGCTCATTCCAATCAAACTAATTTCTACGTGATATTCTTTAGATGTATAAACATAAACGCTTGAACTTAAGCTTGTTGTTAGTGCTGAGAGTACGTTTTTTCCCGTTGTTGATCTGATTTAAATATATTTTACATTGTCCGTTGATGGGAGCGCTAACTTTTACTTTATAGAAGTTACCACGAAAACGAAAATTGCTAAATCAAATTTTATATTTTTTTAAATAAGCGGGATTTGTTGGATTATATATACTTCAAGGGCGAGTGAACTGCGTCGAAATAACCTTCGGCCATTTTTTTTTATTTAGGAAAACGTTCATTAATCTCCCAGAAACTTTGGACCCCTAATGTTGTTTGATTAGAAAGTAATAAATTCATATATAAAAAATGAATGGTCATTTCATAAAGAAAACCTTCATAAACTTCTGCTGACAAATGCTCTTGTTGCGTTCTTAACAAAAGAACTACTGAAAGCACAGAAAAGATCGCCATAACATGGTTTAAACCCAAATTTGGGAATAGAGATAACCTGTGATCTTTCTAATTCGTGGTTTATTACTTACCCCACAAAATAGGCAAAGACACAAATTATGGCAGAATACGGGCTCCTATTTTGTCCTTACACTTTTTTCGAAAAATTTTCCTAAGGACAGTCATAATGTCGACAAAAAGAAATACCCTAAAGACACGCCATAATGGAGAAATGGCTTATGGAACATTTTTTCAACGAGTGATTTTCATGCAGAACCTATGGAATATAGCACAAAAATTCCGAAAGCACTTTCCGACTGTTTTTATGAAATGAAGAACTAAAATAGTTAGCATTTTCATTATTTAGTTAGAAACTTCAAAAATACGTTATAACTACCGCAAGGGTTTGATGAGTACGTAGCTGCTTTACGCAGGCTTGTTGTTATGTATATATATTACGCACGTTGTGCGAAACATTTTTCTTCTAAATCTAATAAGCAGCCCATAAGTACCATTAACCAACTGACCTTACTTGTGTTTCCAGTGTGGGGAGGTCCCGACCCAAGCTTCAAAATCGACGATAACTCCGAAAAAGCAAAAATCATCAGACAACAAGCCAAACGCGACAATGAAAACAAACCCCATATAAAACGTCCAATGAACGCTTTCATGGTATGGGCTAAAGACGAACGACGGAAAATACTAAAAGCCTGTCCCGACATGCACAACTCGAACATATCTAAAATTCTGGGCGCCCGCTGGAAAGCCATGTCGAACGCCGAGAAGCAACCGTACTACGAAGAACAATCCCGTTTGTCGAAACTGCACATGGAGAAACACCCAGACTACCGATACCGACCTCGGCCGAAGAGGACCTGCATTGTGGACGGCAAGAAGATGCGCATCTCGGAGTACAAGATGCTGATGCGCCAAAGAAGGCAAGAGATGAGGCAGCTTTGGTGCAGAGATGGCACGGGCGACATGAACTTCTCGCTGTCTTCCAACTCGGACTTATCTTCGGCGACGGCGACGGCGGGCCGACCCAGCGTGTCGCCGCCCCTGGGCCTGATGAACGGCGCGGGGCCCAGCTCCGAGGGCTTTTACTACCCACATGACAGCGCGTCGCCCGACGCCCTCAACTTCTCGCAGGAGCACGCGTCCATGGCTTACGACTCGAGTCCCAGGAACGAGGACGAATGAGCCTGGCCAAACAGGGAAAGCTCTTTCCCTTGGTACTGAATCTGGCCCTTCGGAACGAGAAACGAGTCTTGCGGGCGGAACCCAGTGTACAAATCTTGAGACGTTTGTAAAAAGGCAACTGTAATTCTTCGTGCCATCGAATGTGAAGCGACCTTACGCCCAGGAGACTATTCGATTAACTTAAAGTTGGTGTTGTAGTTGTATTGTTATGTAGATATATTACTCTAGATCTTCAAGTTATTTATTACACTAGTTTTTAATGTTTTCTCTTTGTTTTTATTTTGTAAATTCATGTAAAGTTTTATACATAGTTTACACATTGCATTGTCGAGAATCAGCTTTACTTTTTATCCATTTTTGTTTTTAAGTTTTATTTGTTATCACTTTTACAATTCTAGTCTTCTCATTATTTTAACTTTAGCTTTAAAAAGGCAAATTATTATTGATTTTGGTACAAATTTATTTCGTGTCATAATAAGAGGACTAGAGTTTGACAAAATCTTTAAATTAAAGTGCAATGTACCTATCATAAAATAGATTTGTTCTCAACTGTTGATGTTTATATATTTTAATATAAGAGCCAGTACTTTAAGTAATTATTATTTATTTTCAACAGTTTTTGTACTTGTACAGTGACTCAATTATATGTTACGGTTAGTATACACAATTATGTACTTAGACATAAAAGTTATCTGTCATATGCATAACATTACGTAATTCAGAAAAGGTCAAAGTAGTACTATGTTAAGCCGAAAATTTGGTATTTGCAGGTCATGAATCATATATCCGATGACCAATAAAGCAATTTCACTCGACCTACCATCATTTTCAATCATAATTGTACATTACATGCAGGTTACGACACGTTGCAAATACACATTTTCCTTTTTTTTTTAACAATGGAAATTTATTTATGCACATGCAAGGTCACTGCAGCTCGTTCGCTATCAAAGAAAGTTCATTGAATCGTGAATCCTAAATGAAAACTACCATCATCGGAACTTGCGTGCCCATGAATAAAACATTTTTGAGCAATTACGAAACAATTTGTAGCCAATATTGTGCCCATAAACAAGCTTTATTTATTGCGATTTATTTAACAAAAAGTCACCACAGATTATTACCTAATTGCTCAGAACCGTACATGAGACGTGTTATTGTTTTCTTTTTTTTTTAACTTACATACTTAAAATGTGATACCTGTAATTAGGTATAGTGTAAATTGTAGTATTTACTCGATTAGGTATGCACGACAATTTATGAGAGAGATACGAGTGTAGTGCATTTAAAATATTCCATAATGCATCATAGGGCTAGTGAGTGTTTGTAACAATACCATTCTCAATGTAAAATTATTGTAAGTCATATATCGCATCAAATGATTACAACTGAAATGTCTACTAGGAAATAGGCTCACTGTTCTTTTCTGTGCCAAATTCGAATAAATAAACTATAAACTGTAGTAAAATTTCTCGATTTCTTATTTCGAACTACCACAAGTGCTTCCCTATGCAATACAAAGCTCATGTACAACATGTCACCGATATAAATAAGCATAATGACGTTAACGAGTGGACAAGAAGGACTGAGTAATGGTGTTGAGTACACATGTAAACGATAAATCACTTACTCCAGGAAGCTGCATTTATGACGTATTATAATTAAGTCAGTTACCGTCTTCGCAAAACTACCCCTCCTGCGTATGGGTAGTAAGTTAAGCATGGTGGACTTGACAAACCTAGAGCTGTGATCTTCAGTAATTCAACTAGTATTTTCACTTACTTTTTAACCAAATACAAACATTCAACTCGTGCCCACTATAAAATTGGGAGTCATAGTAGAAGAAACAGAGAAACGATTACAAAACCATCCAGTTTCGAACAAAAATCTTCTTCGATCTCTCTGTGTACGATAACGTTTGTTATCTCTATAACACACGAAAATACAGCATATATTACAAAAATTATCGACATGTTTCGCCAACCAAGTGAGCATTATCTAGGCAATACCCCAATACTATAACCTAAATGGGAAATATGAAATATAACTAGGCTAGTTTATATTCTGTCTACCCTACTCCTCATCCCTGACTCCACAAAAGGGCTACGAAAATGTTGAGGGGACTTGGTATTAAGGTTGATTATACATCCGACAGTTTTCAAAGTCTTCTTAGAAACCCTAATGATAAAGTAGGACCTAATGAAAAGTCGGAGATTTATGAAATAAGCTGTAAAGATTGTAATCAAAAATGTAGAAGGAGCACTGTCACCGCCAAATTATTTCCTCCATAAACCGGGTTAATCTTCCAACCTAACCAGTCAACGTATTCTCTGTTGCATCGGTTGCCACCACCGCCACCACCGATCGGTCAACAACCAGGACACCCCTTTCACGGCTTTCGCCATCCTGTTGTGTCATGGGCCAAAGACGCCCCACATGAGAACATCTTCAGTGCCCAGCTACATGCCATGGTATCTGCCAGAGATTTTATACGTCAACATTATTCTTACGGTTCACCCAAGCTGCTACCTTCCCTTCTCAACACCTTAACATCCAACACTCAACCTATCAGATCATCACACGACCGCTGGACCTTCACACCCATCAGCTACTTTACCACCGACTGCCTTAAAATTCACTCTGGGCAGCTGAGGTATGTGTCTCAAGGGGGGGGTTAATAATAATTAAAACTGATTGGTTTTGTCTTTGTCGCCTTTATGACATAAACTAAAAATTCCGCTTACAATTTCTTCTAAAGTATGTTGCGTTGTAAGTTACTTAGCACCCATAAATTAAATACCTATGGGAGATGTATAAGTCTCAACACCAATCCAAACTTTGCATCACTTCAATCCAGGTGCGGCTTGTCCTATGAGGCAGGTGAGGCAATGCCTGTGCAATGGATTTGCGCCGCATATTATTATTTTTATTATTTCTGACCGATACATTTCTGGCCAACAAATGTTTTTTTTTTCTAATATTTTAAAAATAAACGTGAAAAATGATTGTTATTCTTATCTTGGTAGATGGATATTAGCTGCTTCAAAGAATTCAGAAGAATCTGAAAGAGTCTGCAAGGATCTGAAATGATCTGGAAAAATTTTAAGGAATCTGAAATAATCTGAGAGAATCTAAGGAGATAGAGGCTGTATAAAGAAAATTTTTAAAATTCTTACCTTTTTACATGACTGTGTTTACCCCGCACGTGCTGTAGAGCATTCAGCTCTTTTGAAGAGATTTAATTTTACATCACTCCATGCTCGACGAAATATGTTCTTGATTCGTTTTTTATATGATCTTCTGACAGCAGAACTGACTGTTCTGTGCTCTTGAATAAAATTAATGTTCTGATACCACGATATACGCCAACATATTTCTTTTTATAATAAGTAATAACTCTGCTAGAAATAATGCTCTAGATAGATTGCCGATTAATTTAATGTGCGATTTATTTAATTGTATTTCTAATAACTGTAATATTCATACATAACGATTCATTAAAATTGATGTGTGCTAACTAGCCAAACATTGTACTATATATTTTCGGTGTAGTCTTATGTTTAAGGTCACTTAATTTTTTTGTTAATTTTCTAGTTATTCTTTGTAGTAGTGTATTTTTAATTTATTTGGTTTCTGTAATTGGGATCTCTTCCTGTTGAAATTAGTAATTATTATTATTATTATTATTAAAATCGAGAGAATTTTAGAGAATCTGAGGAAATCTAAGAGAATTTGAGAGATCCGTAAAGACACTGAAGGAATTTGAAGGAATCTGAAAGAATCTGAGGGAACTGTGAGAATCTGAGAGAATTTGAAAGAATCTGCAGGGACCTGAAACGATCTGAATAGAACTGAAAATTTTGAAAGAATCTTGAGGGCGTCTTTGGAAGAATCTTAAAAAATTTGAAAGAATCGGAAACAATCTGGAAGCATCGAAAAGCATCCCGAATAATCTAAAAGAATAAAAAAAAAATCGGAAGAATCTGAAAGGGGGAATGAGAAAGAAAATGAAAAAATCTGAAAACATTTGAAAGAACTTGGAAGAATTTCGGGGAATCTGTGAGAATCTCAGAGAAATTACGAGATCGAAAACAATCTCAGAGATTCGGCAAGTATTTGAAGAAATCTGAAGAAACAGTGGGAATATGAGAGAATTTTGAAGAATCTAGAAAAATCTGGAAAATTTTGGAAAAGTCTACATGGATCTGAAAGTATCTCTACGGTTGTGAATGACCTGAATAGAACTAAAAAATTTGAAAAAATCTTGAGGATTCCTGACGGTGTCTTGGAAAGAATCTGAAAAAACTCAAAAGAATCTGAAACAATCCGGAAGCTTATCCGGAATAATCCGAAAAAATAAAAAAGAAATTCGAAAGAATCTGAAACAGAGGATCAGAAAGAAAATGAAAGAATCTGGAGAAATTTGAAGGAATCTGAGAAAAATTGGGAGATTCGAAAATAATCTGAAGGAATCTAAAGGAATATGAGAGAATCTGAGAGAAAATGTGAAATTTGGAAAGAATCTGAGAGATTCGGCAAGAATTCGAAAGAATCTGAAGGAATCTGAGGAAACCTGTGAGAACCTAAGAGAATCTCGAAGAATCTAGAAAAATCTAGAAGAATTTAAAAGAATCTGCAGCGATCTGAAAGTATTTGTAAGGTTCTAAATTAATTTGAACAGAACTGGAAAATTTGAAAGAATCTTGAGGATTCCTGACGGTGTATTTGAAAGAATCTGAAAACATTCGAAAGAATGTGAAACAATCTGAAACCATCCAAAAGCATCTGGAATGATCTGAAAGAATCCAAAAGAAAGAATCTTAAAAAAAGAAAGAATCTGAAAATATCTGAAAGAATCTGTAAGAATCTGAGGGAATCCAAGAAAATCTGAGAGAATATTAAACTAAGAATCGGAAGGAAGAATCTGAGAGAATTTGAGAGAATCTAGAAAAATGCAGAAAAAACTGGAAGAATCTGGAACAGTCTGCAAGGGATCTTGAAAAATTTGAGAGAATTTTAAAGATTCCTGACGGTGTCTTTGAAAGAATCTGAAAAAATTCGAAAGAACGTGAAACAAATTGAAAGCATCCGAAACCATCTGGAATAATCCGAAAAAATCTTAAAAAAGAGAAAGAATCTGAAAATATATGAAAGAATTTGGAAGAATTTGAGGGAATCCATGAAAATCTGAGGGAATTTTAAACTAAGAATCTGAAAAAATTAGAAAAAATCAGGGGAAATCGGAAAGAATCTAGCTAAACCTGGAAGAATCTGAGAGAATTTGAGAAAATCTAGAAAAATGTAGAAAAAACTGGGAGAATCTGGAACAGTCTGCAAGAGATCTTGAAAAATTGAGAAAATTTTAAACGATTTGTAAAGATCAGAAAAATTCTGTGGAAATCTAAGAGAATCTTGAGGGATATTGAGAAAATTTGAAAGAATAGAAAAAAATCTGTAACAAAATTTATGGAAAACTTGATAGTGACATTTTACCGTTGAGACGTTATAAATGAAGTGAAAAAAATAAACACAAATGAAGACAATTTTTTTTCCGAAATTCTTGATATTAAAATTAATCAAATACGAATTAGATTTTCTGGTTTAAAAAAATTACACATTTTTTACGTGCTTAATGTTTCTAAATTTCATTTTTTCCGAAAAAATGTCCATGTTTACTCAACACGCAAGCACGACAATATAATTTTGTTGACATTTAGATATTCGAGCATCTTGTGCCTTGCGTCATCGACTTTTCAACTTATGAGCCGCCCCTGCGTCAGTCATAATGAGAAATTTTCTCACTTTTTGCTGCTATTTATAAACTTCTAGTGATGAAGTTATTCTAGTTAGCTGTATATATTTTGATATGATTTAAGAACTAAAATTGATTTCCCATGCTCTTTGTTTGCTTCATCCAATGACTCAAATATGACCGGCATATAAAATATGCGAAAACAAACAATTTTACGACTTTAAACTTCGAAGAATTAGGTCATTTTTTAGTATAGTCTTCAAGAAATTGTTTTATAATGTATCCTATCTGGTTGAAGCTTGTCACGATGGATCCATTTTACACATACTATTAACTAAGAAATTCACCAATAAGTTCCCTTATCAACGATGCGATTCACCGAAATCTCTGCATAAAGAGGATTTTACAATAACTAAATATCGTCAGTGCTTCAAGACTTCGAAAAACTAACTATCGAACTGCACTCCAAATCAAAAATAACTACAACAATCCTTAGGAGCTGAGTAGGATTGTTGTATATGTATTATTCATCTGTAACAAAAAACGAAAAATTCAACAAATAAAAGAAATAGTACCAGTTTAATTAGCATAAAAAGACTAACCAGAAACTTAATTATCCGGTGTCTAGCGCGATTTTTGTTATAATTGTTTAAATAATCATTTCTTTTAATGAGATTACTGTAGTGTTTCTATTTTCATTCAAGCGTTCAGTGTTT